AAAGGAATCGATTGATTAATTGTATGTGCTGAAATTATTGCGATAAAAAAAATTTTTTTTTTTTTCTTCAATAAACGATACTTGTGTTATACGGTAGATAAGATAAGACTAATGAGATAATGTATATTGAGAATCTTTCTTGCGCAAATTCCGATTTTTTTTCTAGTTACACTTGAATTAGGCCTTTTTATTGGTTGTACTAAAGTGATTGCTATATTAAATTAATCCATAATTAAAATATATACGCATGTACATATCACATACATACATTATACTGTAATCTTAATATAAACTCCCGCATTCGAAAAAGTTTTTAAAATTTCGCCTTTCCGATTGGCCAAGTAATTCGACTCTTTATGGAATTATGGAATTTCGCGAGAATTAGCGTTAGCGTTGGGGTTTGCTAAAACGACTCACGTGATAAAGAGAGTGCATACGTACAGCACGTACAGCACGCACAGTACGTGGGTGACCTTGATCGAAATTCGTTTCTAAAAAAAAAAAATCAATTCCTCAATGCTTCCTTTTTACCAATCACTATTCATTACCATTTACCGCCTCCTTGGTTACCGAGGGCAAATTGATTGTTCGATATCTTGCGCAATTCCTAAGCAACCAAAGGATTAGCTAGTTGGACGCGTGGTTTTATAGATCTAAGGTTTTATGGAATCATAAACATTTTCACCAGAAAGAAAAAAGCAAAGTTCCAAGATTACGCAACTCATAATAATTTGGTGTCACTTTTTTTTTTATGTATTTTTTTTAATTTAGGCAATAATGGTGTCATCATAAATATTGTTAAAACTCTCACTGATTAAAGGATAATAATGATTCCGCTCAAAATTCATATAAAATGCCCAATATTCGATTTCTCAGAGGGATGGTAGAAAATGAGATAATTGTTGTAAATGTGTGGTTAAAAGGGTATTAAAAAAAACGTGATGGATGAATGAATCTTGAGGAAAACGAGGTTTTTTTTTTGTTTTTTTTTTTTTTTTTGAATCACACTGGCATAAGATGATGAATTGTGTGAAAGGGGATGTTGCCTGTTTATGTACATCTTTTTATGGGTCAATATAGAAAAAATGGATTATGATTATTTTGTGTGAAGTAAAAAAAAAAAATTTTTTGCCAGGGTTTTTTGCATAATGAGAATATTTAAGTTAGGAATGATTTCTTATTTTTGAAGGGTGAATCTAGGTCTATTGTACTTTTTGAAGAAAAGGAATTTATACAAGACATTCTTAAAGGTAATGTGATATCCGAATTCGGATACAAAAGGTTCGGAGTTGATCATAAATTCCTCAACTTAAACGGGGATTGTTTCCTTACATTGTTTGCGGTTGGAGGTAATTCAGATAAAGATTGAAGAAAATTCAAGCATCAGATTCAGTCTTATCGTCTTTCGATAATTCCATTCTGTCCTCGCCTTGTTGATCATTTTCGACCTTTCGTTTTTTCGACTGCTTTAGTTCACCAAGCTCCTCTCTAAGTTTTTGGATAATATCATCTTTCTCCCTGGTTTGTTTATGGAGTTCGACGATGTAGTCATGAGCTAGGCAAGCGAAATAAATCGAAATTATTACGCAATCGGCATGATGTCGCCTCTTATGGCAAAAGATAACGAACAAAAAAAAATTTTTTTTTTTTACCTCGTTTTAGCAAGAATAATTTGGAGACATTTTTCATCGAGGGGTTGCCATCACCATTTTTGCCAGATGAGTTACAATTGTTGTTTCCATCGCTTCCGCTGCTGCTGTTTCCACTGCCATTGTTGCCGTTTCCGGAGGATATCGACTGAAACGGCACAACCTTTTTCAATTCATCAAAACTCTGTTTTAATGAATCCCTGCGTTTCTGTTCAGCAGCCTTGTGCGTGGTACGTCGAGATTCAAGACTTGAGTGCACATCAGAAGGGTAAGAAATGCCGAGTGATCTATTGAATGGGAGATAACGATTAGATTGATTGATTGATCAAGTGTAACGGTGGCAGGTCATCGAAGGATCTTACTTTGCAGTGCCTTCCAGGATACTTTGGTAATTTGATTTTTTGGCCAATTGTTCGGCTACCTCATCGGCTAACACGCCGGGTAACTTTGGCTTCAGATTTGGACTTATAGTAGGTTTCAAAGCCTGAGGGCTTTTTGAAGGGTTTAGGGTCGATGGAGAACTGTTGTGTGTAAAGCTCCTTCTCGCAATCGGGGAGGACGGCAGAATCATTGGTGACATTGTCCTCGGTGAAACCGGAGAAACGTTAGACGGTATTGCCACCATTTGTGTTCCTGTTGCAACGGTCGTTGCGATCTTGATGGGCTTTTTCGCGGGCGGGGAAGGAGCAATGAAGATAGACTGACCAACTTCTTTACCAGCAGATTGTTGTTGTTCCGAAATTTGATCATTTTTCTCGCTGGACTGTTTCAGGTTGTGTATTGACTTTTGTGGTGTGTCTTGTTGCAACTCGGGAGATCTTCTCTCTCGGCTCGATCTTTTCTCCGACTGACTAGATTTTAGGGTCGAAGTTTTCTTGTTCAATTTCATCAGTGAGGACGGTGTTATCGGTGCGATCTTCTCAGAGAATGACGAAGCCGAGGGGCCATTTGGAACGGCGAGTGAAAGAAGAGTGGACCTCGTGGCGGACACAAGGTTGCTGCCGAGATTTAGATTGGGCATAGGTTCTTGGATAGCAGAAGTGGAGGGTGGCGCTGCTGAAGGTGTAATCACCACATTTACAATCGGGGATGAGATCAACTGTTCTAGATTGGTCATATTCATAGAACTGGGTATCATCTGTGGTGATTCTGTCATGGTTGCATTCAACTTTTGGGCGTTATCGATATTATTTCCGGAGCTTAGGTTGATATTGTCACCATTGATATCATCGTTGCTATCAAGAGAGGACTTTCTCCTTTGATTTCGGGAAATAGAATTGCTCTTTTCGACTTTTTGCTTGTTTATAGGAGAAAAACGTTGCGCACTGTTAACATGATTGAAAGAAGATTTGGATTTCTGACTCGAGCGTCTCGGCGGTGAGCTATTGGGGACGTTCACTATTTGAACCGGAGATGATGTCGGAGAAATTGACGGAGACAGGAGTCCAGGATTCATATAATATGGTATACAGTGTTGATTTCCTAATGCTGGAGATTCCAGGGGTTCAAAGTAAAATCGCTGAACGAAGAGAAAAGAAGATTAGACATGCAATCCCATATTCAGAAATATCACTCGTGCCTTCTGAACACCAAACTCAAAGCTCAAAGAGCCAAATAATACCTCCTCATCTTGGAAAGCGTCCTCCATGCATATTGTGTACGGGGACATGATCATTGTGTCAGGACAAACATTGTGTTCGGAGCTTTCGGGAGTTGGCAACATGTCGTTTGACAAAGTGAAAGGAGTTACGGCGGTCAAAGACTGGACGAAGTTATGATGAGAAGATAGATTCCCGGAAGACATGAGGGCAGCATTGTGTTGGTGGTAATCGTGAGTTCCAATATCCTTTCTACTTTCGCCTGATTGGCCCTGAGTTTCTACGGACAAGAAGTCAAAGTCCAAATTGCGGTATTGTTCGAAGTCAAGATCATTTGAGCCGAGGTCGGAAGCATTGAAGTTCGAGAAAGAATCCATTGTTCAAGGAAAAGGACAACCAAAATTGCAACAGAAGAAAAGTAAAGAAAAAATTGTTGCGCTACTTGGGGGACGTTGTAAAAGTGCAACAATAAAAGGAAAAATAACAACCAAATGACAAAAATCTGACAAGAGGTGATAAGAAGAAACAGATGCAGCCGATAAAGGTAAGCCGGGGCAAGGAACTTTCAAAAAGTCATTAGAGGAACTTGAATACGTAAACTGAGAAATTTTTCAGAACCGCTGCATATATATATTTATTTATTTAATACATGTTACAGTATGCACAATAAATAAATGACTATATATACACACAGTATATCAATGTGAATATAAACGGCAACAGGTTACTTACCAAATTGAAAGGTAGATGCCCCAAATACTGATAGATTTTTGGGGTGATGTGGTTGAATTCGAATTGTGATGTAACGTTGCATGGACTTTCTCCTACAATAGGAAAGCATAATCATCAAGTTATGTCACCGTTGCACGATGCCGGACTAACTGAAAACATCTAGTTCACATTATTTTTTTTTTGATCAAAGTTTTTAATCTTGTACGCATGCATATTTATATATCCAATAAAATCACCGAAGTCTTTGGCATGTTTCCAATACATTGGAGAGATTCGCGAACTCGATCATTTAAAGTTCGAAGGTCCGCAAGAAATTTGTGCAAAAAGGAAAAGAGAAACCTTTCGAAAAACCGCTTTGCGAATGAACATGGATTAAATAAGAATAAGATCATATGAAAATTTGTTCTTCAGATGATCCACGGATGGATGAATAATTTCATAGTCATGGATCGAGTGCACTCAAACCTCCTCCTCCTCTTTTAATATGGAAGGAAGCAATGAGTTCTATTCTATTTTTTTTTTTTTCTTTTTTTTTTACATTATTATCATTATTATTATTATTTATTTGGTGATATGTGATTACTAACATAGGTCATTAAAGAGTGCCAAATAATCAGGCAGAGTCTCGAATTACCATGAACTTTTGGAAGTAAACATTTGACGATAATCGCATCTAATGAGACAATGAAACATGAAAGACGTGGAATCTGTGCAACACCACGAGACGCGTTATCCACAAACGGATGGTGGGCTTCATCCGTCAAATCAAGCCCTGGTTTCTGTGTGGTCGGGCGTAATTTTTTGGCAATCCTAAAAGGCAACTTTTTTCGGATGCACGGACGGACATTCCAAAACTTTTTTTTTTTTTGTCCCATTAGCGGAAAAAGAATGAGAATAAATTTATTTTAAACCACAGTACTTGTCCCCTCATCACATTTATCGAGCCGGAATATTTTAAGATTTGCTGCTTCACCGGATTGTTTGAATATACCTGGTGCGTGATTCACATCATTGTATTTTCAGGATTGACTAATACGTAACGGCAATCCCAGGTTTTTGGTTTACCAGTATACGCACTGTACGCACACATACGTGCGTATTTTTTTTTTTCTACCAGAATAATAATATGGATGTTGCTTGTGTAAACAAACTTTTGGCGCAACTCTCTCTTTCACCTCTTCACCTCAGAAAGACTGAAAAGACACAATGTCATTATCGGCACGAAACTGTCGACATGCTTTTCGATCTTTTACCAATCTATTTCCATCGTTATTCTCTTCACGTCTTGTCGGTCACTGCCGCGGAATTTCACCAAAAGTATTAAATCCACTTGTGTCTTGGTCAAGCGTGAGAAGTCTGCCGGGAAATATTTCATTTTCATTTACATCCGCCACTGAACCAACAAAGAACTACGTTACTGATGCTCATTACATAACGGACATCGATGGGTCCAACTTGACGGGATTAGAAAGTATGCCCAAGAATGTGCAACTACCGCAAGGTAATTTGAAACCAAATAGTGTAAGCTAAATACCCTAACTTGTCACCACTAAACCTTCACGGTCGTAAAATATTTCATTCGTGATCCGCCACCTACGTGACATATTAATCCTGATCACCCAACTTTATGTCAGGCGGACCAATCTCACGATACAATGTACTTGTTGCCTCTAGAATGGTAAGAGAGGATTCATTTCAGCGTAGTATTGTTAATATCCTTCAAGATTTGCATAATCGATTAGCAGATTATGATCCCCCACTCATCATGGATGCTCGAGATGATGTGAACATATCCATTTTTGGCAAGGTAAACATAAAAACATAGTATGTTATTATTATTATTATTGTTATTATTTCCTGCCGAAAAAAATTTTCCCCTTATTCTTTCCTCAGTTGAACTAATGATCTCTCTTCTAGATTTCCAGATTGTTTAATGCGCCTTTAAAAAGATCCTACTTTAACAGTCCCAAAGGACTGTATCTATACGGTGATGTTGGAACCGGAAAAACTATGTTGATGGATCTTTTCTATGACTCCTTGCCCGTCAGACGCAAGCGCCGTGTTCATTTTCATGCTTTCATGTTAGATGTTCATGCACGCATTCAAATGCTTAAGCGGACCAATTCCGACACTTACGATCCAATTCCTCCTATTGCCACTGATCTGGCAAACAACGCTATTGCGTTGTGCTTTGACGAATTTCAAGTTACCGACATAGCAGATGCAATGATTCTACGGCGTCTCATCGATGAGCTCTTCAATCGCGGAGTTGTGATGGTGACCACCTCAAATCGGCATCCAGATGATTTATACAAAAATGGAATTCAACGCAATAGCTTCATACCATGCATTGAACTGCTGAAGGAGCGATGTCAAATACAAACCCTTAACTCGGGAATAGATTATCGTCAATTGTCCAAGGAGACAACGGGTTTATACTTTACTCCGCTAAATGAACAATCTAGAATTGCGATAGAGAATGCATTTAAGAGATTGACGAGGGGAAAACCGGTTTCCGAAGAAAGATTGAATTTCTGGGGTAGATCATTGGTAGTACCCCAAGCATGTGACGATGTGGCCAAATTCACCTTCAACGAACTATGCCATCAACCTCTGAGTGCTGCCGATTACTTGGAACTCACTAAACGTTACAACACCATCATACTCTCGGATATACCGAGGTTGTCTTTGAGCATGAAAAATGAGGCTAGACGATTTATCACGTTTATCGATGCAATGTATGATACAAGAGTGAGTAGCATGTTTGTTTTTTTTTCGATTATTCTTGGAGATTCGATTGCTAATTAATTTAAGCCTCAACCATTTCTTTAATTTATTAAGTCAACGCTAATTTGCTCAGCGGAGGTACCAGCAAAGGATCTTTTCTTTACTGATGAAGATACAGATCCTACTCACGCAATCAACCACGATTTATTAGACGCCTTAGATCTTCACGCACATGACCACAAGTCAATTCCGATATTTACCGGAGAGGAAGAAGTGTTTGCATTTGAGAGAGCGATTTCCAGATTGATTGAAATGCAAGGGGTAGAATGGACAAGCAAAATGATTTTAAAGTCAAGAGCCGCCGGTTCTCATCCTCCTGTTGAATACATGGGATGATCATGGAATGATTATGGTGATGTCGTCAACTAGATTCTTGAATTGTAATTCTATAGGATGTGTTTGTCCGCCGCATTCGGGTAAAGATTCTAGATCACACAAATAGCAAATACTTATTCATAGAAAATGATATACTATATTTGTTTAACGAGATTCGTCAGTTTCTTAAATATATTATATGTACTGTATATAGAAATATGTATTGCGTATATAATCATTATATTATTTATTTACTTCTGTATTAATATATTTTTCAATTTACACTAATATCTTATAATATAATTTGATTTTTATTTTTTGTATTATTTTTTTTTTTCATTTTTTATTATCAATTTTTCAAGTGCTTAAAAAACATATTAATCTATCAATAACTGGTTATATTAATAATTGATATAATATTCTTTTTTCTTATTTTTTTATTTATTTTATTTTTAGCTGGTACTATTTTTTGATCAAGTTTAAAATAATTTACAAGTTATAGTTTGGTGCAAAAATCTTTGGACTGATATTTTTTATTATAATTTAATAAATAATTATTGAATTTTGAATAAAACTTTAATATTTTTATCATAAGAATATCATGGTTATATATTTAAAGTTTTATCAATTATTAATCAATAATTTATTATAAAATATTAATTTAAAGTAAAAAAAAAATATGCATTATTTTATTGACAAATTTTATATATAAAATTTATATATAAAAAATAGTAAAAAATATAATTTTTATTATGATAGATTTTTATAAAAAATAATTATATAATCAAGAAAAATTTTTTAATTTATAAAAAAATAACAAAAAAATTTCTTACCAAATGCAAATTATTTTTTTACAATTAAATTATTTTTTTATTCTATAAAATTAATTTTAAAAATTTTGATTTTACTATAATATCGATATAAAATTTTAAAAATCATTAACTATTTGATTTAATTTATAGTTAATAAAAAAAATTTTTTTTTAAGACCTGTGGGTCTATAGCACAGTGGTAGTCGCAATCACAAGGTCCATAGTTCAATACCACATAAGGGCCATGTGAAAGATTTAAGGAATAAAAAAACTGTCTATGACGCAAAACACAACCAGGTCTAAGAAATCACCAATCATCTCCATTCCGGTTTCATACAAACAGGGTTTTTCTACTTCCGGTTCTAAGCAGGATTTTCTCCCTATAAAAGGCACAATCTACATGGCTGAACATAAAACAAATTTGAAAAAGGTACCAAAACCGGCAACAGCGCCACATTCATCAGAATCATTTGAAAGATGTACTTCTCCTTTCACAGAACTAGCAAGTCAAGCCTGGCAAGTTAGTTGGAAGAAATCCAGAAGGATTGAAGATTCAAAAATAGGGATGTCTAGGTTTTTTAGATAGGTAGTAGTAGAAATTTAATCCAACCAGATATTTCCAGACAACAAGCCATCTGGTGAATCCTTTAAAAATAGGGTTCTAGGAATGTTTGTCAACATAAATGATATAAATATGTATTCCCTGCAAATTAAATTTGTAAATTACTATA